GTCCAGTCCTGGGCCAAGCAAGACTTCCTTACTAGGTTGGTAGATTGGTACCAAAGCTTTTTGGGAGAATAAAAGCATTGAATCGAAGTTCGCCTAAATCCGTAATTCACTGTGTAGGCTCATAGGCGTCAACTCGCCTCTAGGATGTCAAGTGAAGTCAGACTCGTCGCGTGTCCACAATTTGGGATTGGTCAACGACCAGAACTTCACTATGCTATATAAGTAGTCACTTTCATACTGAACTGCGTATAGTACAGCACGATATTTTCAATTCATTACGATCTCAGTAAAGATGTTATAACTCAAACCTCTGGGAACTTCCTAGAGTGCACATACTCAGCAAGTCCTTTGGGCCAGTGCCTTGCGTAACCCTCGTTGATGCTGTAGTACTTCCCCTTTGGCGGTATTTGCATTTTAGGGTGGGTCAAGATAAACTCCCCAATGCTCTGAAAACATGGTATGCATACTATCAACTCTGAAAACTCCAAAAAACCAACAGGATCAAGCATAAAACCGTTTACACCGCGACCAGTACTCAGCACGACCATAGTAGCGGATCCATACAAGCAATAGCCTGCCGCCACCATTGCCCTCAATTAGAATTTTTCGCGAAGAATGATTGGCATTTTTGCAAGTTACCTTCCAGACTGCAACAAATCGGCCTTTGTTACCGGTGCATCGTCATGTTTTCGCCATATACCGAAAATAGTCCCTGAAAAGAGCTTAGGTAGAAGTCTGACCGACTTTGAAGGATATTGCAATACATGTAGCACAGGAGGTCGACAAGGCTTACCGATGGAAACCAAGCAGTCAATATTCGATGAACCATCAAGAGGATCAAAAGTGACGATGTACTTTCCTTGTTTCTTTTCATCCACTTCGATCAGCTGGAATACTTTTATCAAACGGTAATGCATTACATTTCTTTTCATCACAAGCCAATTTTAACGTAGAAGATTATTTTACTGAGCGATAATTTGACTATGAACAAGGACATCAGCGGCGAGGTACAGCACGCAACGTTATCTCTTCAAATGAGGCCAATATGAAAACCGTGCTTGCGCTTTTTCCACTCGCTGTAAGCTTCCCTTGTCTATATTGCCGAGTATGTAGCTTACGGATTTAAATTATTGCTACAATAGAAGTTGAAACACTTTGTGGGTTTTGCTTGATATCACGCATGGCATCGGTTTGCAGCGCTTTCACATGTGAAATGAGGAGA